GCCCATGTCTGGCAATGCTGGTGGGGTTTTTCCCTCCAGAATGATCAGTAACCTCAACCGGACTTCTGGATGGCTTGATGGAGATATGCTGGGCCATTATGAGGTCTTTAGAGCCATTTTGTTAATAATACTACTTGATCTCTAGTTCTGGTCTGGACAGACCACAACCTGGCTGGCTGAGCTGATTACATCATTGTGCTCTGTTTGACACAGGAGCCATAAGTCTCATTATTTGCCCCACACACCCATCAAAACAGCTTCTGCTTGCACCCATGGGAAGGAGCGACAGGAGGGGCAGGCACAGCCAGCTCCTACCCCAGCCAGTCTTCAGGCTGATGCTTTATCTTCAAATGCTTTTCATATTAGGTGGGCTTAGTTTACTTAATTTCATTTTAATTAACAGCTTTGTCGCAGCAGGAGGGATGCTGAAAACAAAGATGCACTTTAAAAAAAAAGAAAAAAGCATGATATTTTTGATTTTTCTCAACTTTTCCCTTTTTTTTCTGCCGTATTGAACGCGAGCCACAAAGCAGTAAAATGTTCTGCAGTCTCACAAAGCAGCCGCCAAGCTGCATAACAAAAAAGCATGTGAGGAATCTGCTCTATAATGCTAACTAGGTGACATCAGCCATGGCTTTGTAAATAAAACGTGAGGCCTGTTTTGCTCAGCTTTGGAAGAACAGACCCCAGGTAGGAGCCTTGATTTCAGTCCCTCTCCCGTTTGAGTTTCACTGGGCTGTGGGAGCCATTAGCCCCTGTGGCTGTTCCACACCAAAGGCAAGGAGGGACAAGAGCAGAGTTTCAACCCACCGGTGACCAAGCCTCACAGATGCAGATGTGACCCCAGCCACTGCCATCCTTGGGCACTCTTTTTTGGGCGCTCTTTCCAGGGGTCACAGCGCCTTCCCCTGTCACCACCTTAACATGAAATAAAAACAATTGGAAGGTGAAAAGTGTTAAGAAAATGTAGTACCACCTCATAAACTTGCCGTGGGAGAAGCTTTAAAAGCAGCTTGCTTTACATCGGGTCACTCGGAAATGAAGTGTTATTATTCAGGATAAAACCCAGCCTCTAAATGCAAATGCGCGCAACAGACCATCAGTGCCGCCAGGGAAGAGGGCAGCGGTGGGTTTTACAGCAAGGAGCTTTCAGCAGAGCAGGGATGAGCCGAGAGGTGAGGAAGAGCCATTTAATGTGACCTGAATTAGCAGCTATAGATAGTGCTTCCTGCATGTTTTACATTTTCAAATAAAAAGGATCTTCTTGTTTAATGGTTAATAAAAATGATTAGTGCTCCCAGGGCAGGGATTCTGACAGACGCAGACTGTGCTGGAGGGACCA